ATCTCAAGGAACTTCCACAATTTTAATTTTTTTAATATGAACACTGTCATTACTGATGGTCCTGCACAAGCTGCACACAATGATTTTTCTTCTCCTCCACATACCCCCTTGTACATTTCATTTGCCATTCACAATATCAGATCATTCACTAACATTGCTAAACAAACCTCTGTAGTTGAATTGTATTCTTCACTTAACTTAGATATTATTGGGCTACAAGAGACAAACTTTGCTTCCTTTTCTACACATACTTTTAACCGTATGTTCTCATCCAAATTCACTGGCTTCTTTGATTCAATCTCTGATTCTCAACCGCAGAAATCTGGTTTCGGTGTAGGTCTTTTACTTCGTCTACACCTAGCAAATCACATTTTCCACCATGAATCTAAACATAATCGTATCATTCTCGTAGATCTGCAATTTGCCAATAAACAAAAATTACGAGTAATTAATTGTTATCCTCCACCTGGCAATCATACTATTAAGAAACAGATACAAGTAGACCTCTTAAAATATATTCAAGAGGCATATGCGAATAATTATCATACAGTACTTCTTGAAGATCTTAACGCAGACATTGACAATCCTAAGCTGCATTCTCAGAACAAAAGATTTTTTGCTAATCTGAACAACCTTAATTTGTTTGACACTTTCACAGTCAAATATGATACACAAAGATCTGACTATCCTACTCATCAAGGTCCAATGTCGTCTTCACAGATAGATTACGTTTGGTCCTCAGTTGATGTTATCTCAAACTTCACAGGTTGTGAAACAGTTCAGCTTACATCTACTCTAACTGATCACTCTATTGTCATCCTGTATATCGAAAACTTCTTAGATGTTAAAAATAATAAGAGAAATATTCCTTTGAAAAAGGTCTACGACTATGACAAAATGACTGAGGATAATTGGTCAGCCTTCACTAATAAGACAGATACTTTGGCTAATAGTTGCTATTTACGTTGCCTTAACAATAAGACTGTACTTAATCAGAATAAATTAAACCAATTTTGGGATCTCTTACAAGAATGTATCATTAAGGCTGCAGCCTCTACAATTTCTTCACACCAATCAAAAGGACATTATACCATAAAGAGACCATCTCTCTTGTCAAAATTATATAAAGAACTTAAGCTGCTATATAAACTGAAGAGTTTGATAAAGAAAATGACTATCACATCCAGTCTTCTTACACAACGGTATACTTCAATTGAAAAATTCTACACTATTATGAATGATTTTGGAATAGGATATGTTAGGCTTCCTCCTAATCCTACGGCTATCATCGCCAAATCAATTTACTCTGATATTGATCTGCTACTGGGCTGCATTCTTATAAAATCAAAATTACACGAACATGAGTTTAAATTAAAATCTATTCAACTCGCTATTGAAAGAAGATTGGAAAATTTTCATATTTCACCTGCACGAATGACTGATTCTCTTATGGACCGCTCTAAACGAACAATTATCATTGATAGATGTATTAATAATGGTTCACCATCACGTGATCTCTTGACCAATGAAGATGATGTCAAAAAGGAAGTAGCTAGACATTTTCAAATGGTAGCTGGCACTTCTCACGAGAATGTGCAAATGGACAAGGAGTGGCTCCCGTTCTATCAACCATTAGAGGATGTTCACATCTTCATATATGATAACCTAATAACTCCACCATCAGCCGATGAATGGTATAGTATTATCACTCAACTCCCTAATGGTAAAGCCTCTGGACTATCCAAAGTGTCTAACGAAATGCTCAAAAATCTTGGTCTTTTAACTAGAAAATTACTCTGGTATATTATTTGTGGTTGCCTAGAGTTATCTTCACTTTCACATAGATGGAATCATGCTTTTGTGTACCCGATTCCCAAGCCTAAACTATGGGAATATGACTTAAACAATACCAGACCTATAACTTTGTTAGAATGTCCATGAAAAGCTCTCATTAAATTATTAAATCGTCGACTTTCCAATATTTTGATTAGAAATAACATTCTTAAAGGACTTAACTTTGCTGGCTTACCATTCAAATCCACTTTTGAACCCTTATGTATAATCGATAACATTAAATACAACGCATCACACAACTGTAAAGCTTATGAATTTTATTGCAAGATATGTCTAAAGCTTATGATCGGGTCAATATATTTATGCTTATTAAAGTGTTGGAACGGCTGCACATTCCATTTAATTTTCTTAGATTTGTTCTTAAGATATTTGGAAATTGCCATAATCAGATTTTTACACTTTTTGGCAACACTGATTCTTACAAAGTTATTTCTGGAATTAATCAGGGTGAGATCATTTCACCTTTATATGGTGTATTTATTACGATCCTTTGCTCTGTTGTGTACAGAATTCAACGCTTGGCTATTCCTCTTCGCTTACGTAGAAACCTAATGTTTTAATAAATGAAACAGAATCTGTCTCTCTCAAAACTTCAGCACTTGCATATATGAATGATACTCTCTAGATTGCAAGATCATGTGAGGATCTTACCAATATCATTACCATCACTGAAAGTTTTTACAAACTCAATCACATTAAAGTAAACTGGGAGAAATCAGTCCTTATGATCAATAACGCTAGAGATCCACAACCTCTCATATGTGATATAAATGGTAATCTCACTAGTATTAACTCACTACCGCTTAATAACTCCACTTGCTACTTAGGTATTTGGATTTCGTTAGGAAAAATAAGACCTTCACTGTTGATTTGCCTAGAAAAGAAATCAAAAATGCAATAACCATTATGTCAAAAAAGAAGATGACTAATAAACAGTTGGTGTATATATTTAACACTATTCTTACACCATGAATTGAATATCGTACCTAATTAACGGCACTCACAATGGCCTAATGTGATGCTCTTGGTTCAACTTACAGAGCTTTCTTGAAGAATAAACTACATCTATCACGAAGTACTCCGTCATCTGTGTTCCATTCTAATTACTTTTACAACCTCATGGATCTGCATCATCATCTTCTCGCTGCATATAGTGAAGCCTTACATTTCTCTCTTAATGATCGCAATTTACTTGGAGAGTCCACAAGATTGCGTATTAGACAACTCTAACAAAATGAATAGCTACATATTTCTCCTTTGATCATATGGCCATATCTGTCGCGATTGGATTGCTAATCTGCTTTGCAATTAGAAGCGACTCAACATCACCATACAACTTCCTGATTCAGAACATTTTATTATTAAAGGTGGTTTAACTCCTCTATCCTCAATATTGCTCCCCTATGAATACAAGACTCTCTCTGTGAACTTGAGGAAATACTCCTTGCTATTTATTGAACAGTTGGTCTTTTCAGCTGGAAAGATTATGTTAACTTTTTACGATCTTAATATATTACCAGGATTTCTGCCAACAAGACGCATTCAATGTTGGTTTTTAACCCTTCAAGATAGATTATTATTAAATGAACAGGATAGAAGCATGCGAGCTTTCTATTCACATTTGAACAACTGTACATTTGACTTTACACCTCCTAGCAAAAAAGCTAGTATAATTGAATTTATGCTTAGCTGGAATTATGGTCACAACATCCCATTTATTGGACGGCTTCTTAAAACAGAAGAACACTATGCTCACATATTGCATGTGCTCCCGACAAGTACCCAGGATAATAGAACTTTGTTCTCTAATTGTAGTCGTTGTGTTCTTCATGACTGTCAGACTTTGTATCCTATCAAACCGTCAACAAAGAAAACAAATTTTTTTTTATAATACTGATAAATCTCTGTTTTATCATTCCGACTAATCATAATCGTGATTCGACTCATGGTTGTTCATGGTCTATTAATTTACTAAATGAATTAGCTAAAGCTTTTATCCATCATCATAGTATTCCACCGTCCCCTATACCTGCAATTGATTTTGTTTCTCCTGTTCCTCCTTCCTTCATCAAAAAATTTGTACCTTTATCACATATACAGACTTTACTAACACTTCGCTCTCAATTCAGTCCCTGCACTCATTTAGAGTTCTACACTAATAGCTCCTTGGTAGATTTTGGTACTCCTTCTATCAGAATGGGTCTAGCTTAGCTTCAAACTGCACCAGTTTCTCCTATGCTCTCATATTCAACAGCTTTTACATCCTCATTTCCCTCATCATCTGTTGCTGAATTGGCTGCAATATTCACTGCCATTTTGGTAACCCCTGCCAATTGTCAAATCACAATTTATACAGACTCTAGCAACATTATTTCACAATATAACAAATACAAGCTATTATTGGCAATTTCTCCTTTATAACGACCATTCCTTAAGATTGTCAACATCCACATTTGGCAATGTCTATTTCAAATCATAAATGCTTTGTGTTATCTGTGAAATTGATAAAAGTTAAAGCACATTCAGGTGATGCCTATAATGAAAAAGTTGATCAAATGGCCAAAAACTCATTAACTACATCAGCATTAAATTTCATTATTAACGACCAACTTCATACATCCTTATATTTCAACTATTTGGCTATAGCCTCTCCTATACGACCTTTTCTTAAAAATATTTTGTGTGCAGAAATTTTTACCTCCTTTTTGAATCTTGATATCAATTACAAATATGTCAGTCTGAACATTGACTGGATCGCTACTTCAAAATACATCTCAGACAACGTTGCTCTAAGAGTCACTTCATATGAGGCCTCTGCTTTAATGAAATCAAAAATACATCGAATCCTTGAGATGCTTCCTACAATAGAAATTCTAAAGAGACGTCATCCGCTTCTGTTTGATGATTTCCAAACTTGTATCAGATATGATTCTGATCCAGAGGATTTTGCTCATTTATGGACATGTTCTATGATTCTGCATAAATCACATGTTTTAATCAACAACGCAAAAGCGCTTCTCATTAATATCTTACAATCTGATCACTCACCTCAACAAATTGAATAGCTCGAAATCTGGTTACTTTTCCTACCATTACCAACACAGTTCACATTTATTGATCTTATTAAAGGCATCATTCCGTTTAAATTAATGCATCTTTTCAAAAGGACTTTCGTTTCTCAAAATGAGACTTTTGCCGCAGTTTCCAATTTCATGCATTTTATCTTTGAACAATCTCAAGCTATTTGGAATGACCACTGTTTAGAGCTCAAAACTTTTGAATTATCTCACGATATTACTGACGCTTTAAAGCGATATCTTATAGATTCCTCAGGATACAGTTTTCCAACTTATCACACATCTTATGATTCTAATCAACTTGTTGATTCTATAGTTCGTAATGGATCTCACTGGTCGAATTTTTAATGCAGTAGGGGCCAAGCCCTTTTCCTTTTCTGATTGCTAGAATATGATAACATGGTTTCGGTTGTGTTAGATTCTGGAAGAGTGCAGGGTCGGTCTTGATTTAGATAGTTTCATGA